ATAACATGCTATATAATATAAAGTAAAAACATTGAAAAAACAGAAGCGCTAAATTTACTAATTTCGAACACTCTACAACAATACGAAAAGCATTGTAATTAGAACTATAGAGCACAAAGTAAGTATAATCTATAACATGCTATATAATATAAAAAAAAAACATTGAAAAAACAAAAGCGCTAAATATACTAATTTCGAACACTCTACAACAAATACAAAAAGCACTGCAATTAGAACTATATAGAGCACAAAGTAAGTATAATCTATAACATGCTATATAATATAAAGGAAAAACATTGAAAAAACAAAAGCGCTAATTTACTAATTTCGAACACTCTACAACAAAATACGAAAAGCACTGCAATTAGAACAATATAGAGCACAAAGTAAGTATAATCTATAACATGCTATATAATATAAAGGAAAAACATTGAAAAAACAAAAGCGCTAATTGTACTAACTTTGAACACTCTACAACAAATACGAAAAGCACTGCAATTAGAACTATAGAGCACAAAGTAAGTATAAAATGTAACATGCTATATAATATAAAACAAAAACATTGAAAAAAAGATAGCGCTAAATATACTAATTTCGAACACTCTACAACAAATACGAAAAGCACTGCAATTAGAACTATAGAGCACAAAGTAAGTATAATCTATAACATGCTATATAATATAAACGAAAAACATTGAAAAAACAAAAGCGCTAAATGTACTAATTTCGAACACTCTACAACAAATACGAAAGGCACTGCAATTAGAACTATATAGAGCACAAAGTAAGTATAATCTATAACATGCTATAATATAAACGAAAAACATTGAAAAAAACAAAGCGCTAAATATAATAATTTCGAACACTCTACAACAAATACGAAAAGCACTGCAATTAGAACTATAGATCACAAAGTAAGTATAATCTATAACATGCTATATAATATAAATGAAAAACATTGAAAAAACAAAAGCGCTAAATACACTTATTTCGAACACTCTACAACAAATACGAAAAGCACTGCAATTAGAACTATATAGAGAACAAAGTAAGTATAATCTATAACATGCGATATAATATAAAGGAAAAACATTGAAAAAACAAAAGCGCTAATTGTACTAATTTCGAACACTCTACAACAAATACGAAAAACACGGCAATTAGAACTATAGAGCACAAAGTAAGTATAATCTATAACATGCTATATAATATAAACGAAAAACATAGAAAAAAAAAGCGCTAAATTTACTAATTTCGTACACTCTACAACAAATACGAAAACCACTGCAATTAGAACTATAGAGCAAAAAGTAAGTATAATCTATAACATGCTATATAATATAAACGAAAAACATTGAAAAAACAAAAGCGCTAAATACACTTATTTCGAACACTCTACAACAAATACGAAAAGTACTGCAATTAGAACTATATAGAGAACAAAGTAAGTATAATCTATAACATGCTATATAATATAACGGAAAACATTGAAAAAACATAAGCGCTAAATGTACTAATTTCGTACACTCTACAACAAATACGAAAAGTACTGCAATTAGAACAATATAGAGCACAAAGTAAGTATAATCTATAACATGCTATATAATATAAAGTAAAAACATTGAAAAAATAGAAGCGCTAAATTTACTAATTTCGTACACTCTACAACAATACGAAAAGCATTGTAATTAGAACTATAGAGCACAAAGTAAGTATAATCTATAATATGCTATATAATATAAACAAAAAACATTGAAAAAACAAAAGCGCTAAATATACTAATTTCGTACACTCTACAACAAATACGAAAAGTACTGCAATTAGAACAATATAGAGCACAAAGTAAGTATAATCTATAACATGCGATATAATATAAAGGAAAAACATTGAAAAAACAAAAGCCCTAATTGTAGTAATTTTGAACATTCAGCAACAAATACGAAAAACACTGCAATTAGAAGTATAGAGCACAACGTAAGTATAATCTATAACATGCTATATAATATAAAGGAAAAACATTGAAAAAAAAATAGCGCTAAATGTACTAATTTCGAACACTCTAGAACAAATACGAAAAGCACTGCAATTAGAACTATAGAGCACAAAGTAAATATAATCTATAACATGCTACATAATATAAAGGAAAAACATTGAAAAAACAATAGCGCTAAATGTACTAATTTCGAACACTCTACAACAAATACGAAAAGCACTGCAATTAGAACAATATAATATAGAGCACAAAGTAACTATATTCTATAACATGCTATATAATATAAGGAAAAACATTGAAAAAACAAAAGCACTAATTGTAGTAATTTCGAACACTCTACAACAAATACGAAAAGCACTGCAATTAGAACTATAGAGCACAAAGTAAGTATAATCTATAACATGCTATATAATATAAAGGAAAAACATTGAAAAAACAATAGCGCTAAATGTACTAATTTCAAACACTCTACAACAAATACGAAAAGCACTGCAATTAGAACTATATAGAGCACAAAGTATGTATAATCTATAACATGCTATATAATATAAACGAAAAACTTTGAAAAAACCAAAGCGCTAATTGTAGTAATTTCAAACACTCTACAACAAATACGAAAAGCACTGCAATTAGAACTATAGAGTACAAAGTAAGTATAATCTATAACATGCTATATAATATAAACGAAAAACATTGAAAAAACAAAAGCGGTAAATATACTAATTTCGAACACTCTACAAAAAATACGAAAAGCACTACAATTAGAACTGTATAGAGCACAAAGTAAGTATTGTCTTGTCATGGACCGAAATTGATCAACTACACAAGACACGGAATAAACTAATCAGAACGGTACTAACTAAGAAAGAAAAGAACAAATTAAGTATGCGGAAACAAATAAAGCGAGAAAAAAGATAATCGAAAGAGAAGCAAACCTAAGTAAGTAGTAACGTAAGAATGACCCGATACCCTTCTAGCATCGAACCATCCTCCACGAAGGCACCACCTCGGTCGACACTTTGGAGAGCTCTTCCATCTTCCCCAAATGCCACGAACTTGAGGCTTTATACTCAAACCCGAATTTTTAAACTAAACCCCATGGAGCATGCAATGGAATTGCATTCCATGAAATATTATACTAAAAAAGGAAGTATAGCTATCAAGCATAACTTTCCATAAAAAGGAAATGATCAATAATGATCAAATATTCATAAAAATATTCTTGCTTGGTGTGTTTTACAAAGCACCTTAAGAGTCCAATTTATAGGAGTGGGGGAAGGGGCAAGTGGAGTGATTTTCCAATGTGGGATAGGTTTAGTATAACTAAGTAACCTCTCATTGATTGACACCTAGGTAATGGTCCCCTCTTGCATGTGAGAGAGCTTATTATATATGTATATGTATAAGTGGTCCCAATAGATGGTCCCCCCCCCCCACTTGAGCATGTGCAACCTAGGTGTATATAATTACCTATTAAACCCTCTATTTGAGCAAACTCCTAGGTTTGCAAAACTTTTCCGTTAGTTTTCCGGTTGAGGCGTTGCAAGCTCCAATGTAACCTTTACAACCACGGAACTCGCCCTAGGCTTTCCATCAAGTCCTCGCATGTTGTAACATAGTCCGTTGGTTGGGCTCCAATTCTCTAATTTCTTTATTAGGCCTTGCAAATTTTCAATGCACGCTTTTGCTCGAGCTCTCGAGATTGGTCCGATTGGAATATGTGGAATTGCAAGTTCCGATCTTTTCGTATCCATGTCATCCTCTCCCCCTTCAGAAGGTTGATCCATCAACCGTTGTGCGTCCTTATCGGCTCGATCATAGAGTGATAAATCTGCAATATTAAAAGTAGGATTAATACCATATTCATCCGGAAGTTCCAAACGGTATGCATTATCATTAATCCTTTCAAGCACTCGAAATGACCCATCTCCTCGGGGTGATAGCTTTGTACGTCGCCTTGCCAGAAACCTTTCCTTCCTCATGTGAACCCAAACCCAATCGCCGGGACGCAATATTACAGCTTTACGTCCGCGGTTAGCATACTTAGCATATACCTCCGCAAATTTTTCTAGACTTGCTTTGACATCCTTATGAAGTTCCTTTATGCGTCTTGCTCGTTCCTTACCATTAACATTTAAGAACTCATTGCTAGGCAATGGTAAAAGATCAGTAGGCGTTAGTGGGTTCATTCCATAAACTACTTCAAATGGTGACATGTGTGTGGCTGTGTGGATATGTCTATTGTATGCAAATTCAATGTAAGGAAGACATTCATCCCAACTTTTACTATGTGAATTCACAATAACTCTAAGGAGATTACCCAACACCCGGTTTACCGCCTCCGTTTGTCCGTCAGTTTGGGGGTGATAGGATGTGGAGAAAAGAAGCTTACTACCAATTTCGTGCCACAACGATTTCCAAAAGTAACTCACGAACTTTGCATCGCGATCTGAGACAATAGACCTTGGCACTCCATGAAGGCGTACTATCTCCTTGAAAAATAGTTTGGCGACGTGATGGGCATCATTTGTCTTTGCACAAGGAATGAAATGCGCCATCTTGGAAAACCTGTCAACCACAACGAAAATAGAATCTTTAGCACGTGCAGTTCTAGGTAAACCCAACACAAAATCCATACTAATATCAATCCAAGGTCCCTCAGGGGGTGGAAGAGGCATGTAGAGTCCATGTGGCTTAAGTGTTGACTTGGCCTTAAGGCACGTCACGCATCGCGAAATATAATCTGCAACTTGCTTGCGCATTCCAGGCCAATAAAATTTCTCTCCAAGAGCTTCCATTGTAGCATTCTTCCCAAAGTGGCCCATCATGTCACCACCGTGAACTTCTTGTATTAGTAACTCCCGAATGGAGCATTTTGGGATACAAAGTCGATTATCATAATACAAAAATCCCTCATGTCTGCAATGCTTATCATGCCCATGAAACTCACACAAAACATACACATCTTTGAAATCCTCATCAGTGTGGTATAATTCCTTTAACATCCTCATCGTGCGTGCCTTCGATTCAGCTGTTGTTGCCCCCTCAAGTGCTTCAAGGTCTCATGATCGGTGTGTATCACAAACTCTCGTGGCATCAAATAATGTTGCCATGTCTTTAAAGCCCGTACCACCGCATACAACTCCTTGTCATATGTAGAGTAATTCAAGGCAGCCCCTCTAAATTTGTCATTATGATAGGCTATGGGTCGACCTTCTTGAAGCAAAACTGCACCCATGCCTTTGCCCAAAGCGTCACACTCAAGCTCAAAGGTCTTCTCAAAATTTGGTAGCGCAAGTACTGGTGCTTGAGTAAGCTTTGCCTTCAATGTCTCAAACGCTTCTTGGTGTGCTTGCTCCCATTTAAATGGGACTCCCTTCTTGAGCAAGGACGTGAGAGGAGCAGCGATCAAGCTAAAACCAGGCACGAACCTCCGAAAAAATCCACACATTCCCAAAAACCTCCTAGTTTCTCCCACATTCATTGGAGGTGTCCATTCTTTAATTGCCTTTACTTTCGTTTTATCAACCTTCAAGCCATCCTCGCTAACTACAAACCCAAGAAAAACAACTTCATTAATGTGGAATATGCACTTTTTAAAATTAGCATAGAGTTTTTCTTCCCTTAACCGTTGAAAGACGAGTCGCACATGCTCCACATGTTCCTTTTCACTTTTACTGTAGACAAGAATATCATCAAAGTATACTACAACAAATTTACCAATGAAAGCACGTAGAACATGATTCATTAACCGCATGAAGGTACTAGGAGCATTAGTTAGACCGAATGGCATTACCAACCAATCGTACAAACCTAGCTTTGTTTTAAATGCCGTCTTCCATTCATCGCCGTGTTGCATACGAATCTGGTGGTATCCACTCCGAAGGTCAATCTTGGAGAAGATTCTCGCTCCATTGATCTCATCAAGCAAGTCATCAAGGCGCGGGATTGGGTGTCGATACTTAATTGTAATCGCATTCACCGCTCTACAATCCACACACATCCTCCAAGTTCCATCCTTCTTGGGGTAAATGATAACAGGAACAGCACATGGTGATAAGCTCTCCCGAACCCATCCCTTCTCAAGAAGTTCTTGGACTTGTTTTTGAATCTCCTTATTCTCATCTGGGTTGCACCGATATGTAGGACGATTTGGGATCGAAGCACTAGGTACGAAGTCAATTTGATGCTCTATCCTGCGAATGGGCGGTAGTCCTTGTGGTAGTTCCTCCGGGTATGCATCCTAGCAAAGGGAATGGAAAAATTAGTGAGTAGATTATCTTTATCAGAATGAAATAAATCTTTGCATAACAACATAAAACAACCCTCCTTTTGATGATCTAGGTCACTAACTTCTCTCTGAAAGTCGGTAAGTGAAAGAAGGATGTTGGAACCCTTAGCAGTAGACTCTCTCGTTTCCTCTGTGGATACTTCTTTTCCTTAGCTCTTTTAAGGCTTTCAGCCTCTTGCATCTTCTTTCGCAAACTTTCTTGATCTTTTCGAACCTTCTTCAATGGTAAAGAATGAATCATTACCTTGTAGCCCTTGTCATAAAATCTAACTTTGTTAGTCTTGCCATCATAGATAATTCCTTTATCGGATTGCCATGGTCGGCCAAGAAGCACATGGCATGCGGTCATCGGAGTAACATCACAAAGGACATCGTCTTTGTAGGAGCCGATTGAAATTGGAACTTTGGCTTGCCTAGTGATCTTCATATCTCCACTAGAGTTCATCCATTGAAGATGGTATGGAGTTGGATGCTTGATAGTTTGGAGTCCAAGCTTGTCTACCACATACCAACTTACGACATTGGTGCAACTTCCGTTATCAATGATTATCGACGCTCGCTTCCCACCAATCTTGCACCGACAATGGAACAAATTCTCCCGTTGCTCCTTAACCCGATCAACAAAATTTTCCGACTCCTTGGGAACTGCTCCAAGCATTCGCAAAACCACTAGAGACTCCCCGGATGAATCCTCTTCAACGTGCTCTTCCGTCTCTTGGATTGCTTCATCCACACTCGCCTCAACTTCATGTTCCCAATCTTCACCCTCATCATCCGACAAAAGTACATAGTCCCCATTGTCACAAAGCACAACAGTTCGCACATTAGAGCATGTATTGGCATAATGACCTGTCCTTTGACACTTAAAGCATGTGGCATCCTTTGCTTTGTTTGGTGAACCATCCTTGCTGACTTTCCTTGGTTCATCACGCTTAACAACCTTAAGCGGCTCATTCTTGGTCGTGTGCTTATCATCTCCTTTGGGCCAAGATTTTGTTGGTCCCGTATTACCCCCAAACTTGTTGAAATTTGGTGACGTCTTTCCAAAGCTCACACTTACTCCTACCTTTCCATGCGATTCAATCTTGGTAGCAAGTTGGACAAGTTCCAAAGTAGAATTGTAAGGATACATATCCACTTGAATCATAATATCACGCCTCAGCCCTTTGAGAAACCGATACATGGTGACTCCATCATCTTCCACAAGCTGAGCCCGCATCATAAGCATCTCCTTTTCCTTGTAGTACTGCTCAACCGTCTTGCTACCTTGGACTAAAAACTGAATTTTCTTAAGAAGATCCATCCGATAATGCGGGGGCACAAAACGTGCATGCATAGCTCGAGTAAGGGCTGCCCATGTCTCAATCGGAGGCATTCCGGACCTTGCAATATCAGCTTGTATCTTCTCCCACCAAACAAGAGCATACTCCTTAAACTCCACAACAGCAAGCTGAGTTTTCTTGCGCTCCGAGTAATTATGACATGCAAACATCATCTCCACTTTGCTTTTCCACTCAAGAAACTCATTAGGTTCAGCCGATCCTAAGAAAGGTGGTATGGAGAACTTGATGGACTGCATGTTATCATCAACCTCATTAACTCGAACTCGGCTCCTTCGGTTATGGATATCTTCTTCCAAGTCAAATTCATCAAGTAACTCTTTGGTAGTATCCCGTCTTCCTCCTCGGCCTTGGATAGATGTAGGCCTTGGACTAGTATGACGCCTTTCGCCAAAATCATCAACTTGGATAGATCGATTTGGGAAAACACTTGTTGAGCCCATAGGTTGTTTGCCAAGGTGGATTTCTTCACGTTTAGCATCATTATGACTTCCCCTTTCTTCAAGAGTAGCAACCTTATCGAAAACCTCATCGAGTTTCTTTTCCATGTTTTGATCAACCTTCCTTAACAAGGCCTCCGCATAAGCCTTCATCCGAGCATCCACAACATCATCTATGTCATCTCGAACATGATCAACTTGACTCCGTAGGTCATGTATCTCTCGACTTTGCTGATCCACACGAGATGTCATGCTATCTATCTTTCCACCTAACTCGACTTTAATATCTCGCATATCTTTGCTTTGCTTATTTATCGCAGCCAAGATATCATCCAACGAAGCCATACCTGCACCAAAACAAACTAATATTTGTATATTGAAAGTTAGTTCTCACAATTCCCCCCCACTCGCACACTCGTGTATACCTCTTGTCATGGACCGAAATTGATCAACTACACAAGACACAGAATAAACTAACTAAGCGGAACTAAGTAAGAAAGAAAAGAACAAATTAACTAAGCGGAAACGAATAAAGCGAGAAAAAAGGATAATCGAAAGAGAAGCAAACCTAAGTAAGTACTAACGTAAGAACGACCCGATACCCTTCTAGCATCGAACCATCCTCTACGAAGGCACCACCTCGGTCGACACTTTGGAGAGCTCTTCCATCTTCCCCAAATGCCACGAACTTGAGGCTTTATACTCAAATCCGAATTTTTAAACTAAACCCCATGGAGCATGCAATGGAATTGCATTCCATGAAATATTAGACTAAAAGAGAAAGTATTGCTATCAAGCATAACTTTCCATAAAAAGTAAATGATCAATAATGATCAAATATTCACAAAAATATTCTTGTTTGGTGTGTTTTACAAAGCACCTTAAGAGTCCTATTTATAGGAGTGGGGGAAGGGGCAAGTGGAGTGATTTTCCAATGTGGGATAGGTTTAGTATAACTAAGTAACCTCTCATTGATTGACACCTAGCTAATGGTCCCCTCTTGCATGTGAGAGAGCTTATTATATATGTATATGTATAAGTGGTCCCAATAGATGGTCCCCCCCACTTGAGCATGTGCAACCTAGGTTTATATAATTACCTATTAAACCCTCTATTTTAGCAAACTCCTAGGTTTGCACAACTTTTCCGTTAGTTTTCCGGTTGAGGCGTTGCAAGCTCCAATGTAACCTTTACAACCACGGCACTCACCCTAGGCTTTCCATGAAGTCCTCACATGTTGTAACATAGTCCGTCCGTTGGGCTCCAATTCTCTAATTTCTTTATCATGCCTTGCAATTTTTTAAATGCACGCTTTCGCTCGAGCTCTCGAGACTGGTCCGATTGGAATATGTGGAATTGCAAGTCCCGATCTTTTCGTACCCATGTCACCTCTCGAAAAATGGATAGAGTTTCCAAGCTCTTAAAGTGTGCCTTGATGGAGTCGTAAAGGTGAAACCTGAGTGTCGTACGCGTTTAAAGTGTACAAGAAACTTTAAACACGACTCAATCAAAGAAAGCTCAAGATAGTGTCAATCATGCAATGCAAAGAACCAAGCTCATTCATTCACGGACAAATGACCAAACATACACAAAACACAAATTCCGGAACTAAGCAAGTCGACAACAAACACAAGCTGAATGATCTCAACAACCACCAAATCACCACAATACTCAACTCCCTTTAAAACGTGTCAAACGAATATGACAAGCACAAAATCGATCCAAACTCAAAAACCCAAAACTGAATAATCAATGTCAATTAAAACCTCACAAAAACTGATTTATATAACTTTCTCCCCACTTCACAAGCTTTCCAATGACATATCATACGCGAAAAACGGAACTCGTATGGGAAAACTACAACTCAAACAAGATTATCGACAAAAATATTGCTCTAGTCCTCCCGCTCGATTTTGTTTTTTGTATTTCATTTTTTTTTCAAATATTTTGGTTTTCTTTTTTCTTTTTTTTTCTTTGCAACAATTTTTTTTTTTACTTTTTTCACGGCAATATTACGAGGCCTAGGCAAAACAATACATCAACAATAACTCCTTACACTTCCCCAACAACATCCAACTCAAAATTAATTCAACCTCACTTCAAACAACAACGAACTCAACAACCCGCAAACTTGCAAATCTCAAACAAGAGCAAAATCGCAAAACTCAAACAAGAATAAACTTGCAACACTCAAAAAAGAACAAACTCGTAAAACTCAAACAAGAGCATGAAGTGTACAATTAAAATCACTCGTCAACAAAGTCACAAGCTTGAGTTCATATAATGCATATGGATGTAAGGTACATGTTGTACACTAGGAAGCATAGAGGATCAAATCGTCTACACTAGAAGGCCAAGAAATGACAAAACTCGAGATCAAATCTACGTCAAGAATATGCAATAAACAACTCGACTACGCAACTAGAGGAATAAATAAAAAAGAAAAGATAACAAAGGAATTTTTTTTTTCGGAATTTTTGGAATAAAGATAGTGTAAGTTGATCAAACTGCTCTGATACCAAAAATTAAATATATGTCATGGACCGAAATTGATCAACTAAACAAGACACGGAACAAACTAACTAAGTAAGTACTAACGTAAGAACGACCCGATACCCTTCTAGCATCGAACCATCCTCCACGAAGGCACCACCTCGGTCGACACTTTGGAGAGCTCTTCCATCTTCCTCAAATGCCACGAAATTGAGGCTTTATACTCAAACCCGAATTTTGATCTAAACCCCATGGAGCATGCAATGGAATTGCATTCCATGAAATATTAGACTAAAAGAGAAAGTATTGCTATCAAGCATAAATTTCCATAAAAAGAAGTGATCATAAATGATCAAATATTCACAAAAATATTCTTGCTTGCTGTGTTTTACAATGCACCTTAAGGGTCCTATTTATAGGAGTGGGGGAAGGGGCAAGTTGAGTGATTTTCCAATGTGGGATGGGTTGTGTATAAGTAAGTAACCTCCCAATGAGTGACACCTAGCTAATGGTCCCCTCTTGCATGTGAGAGTTTATTATATATAGATATATATAAGTGGTCCCAATGGATGGTCCCCCTCCACTTGAGCATGTGTAACATAGGTTTATGTAATTACATATTAAACCATCTATTTTAGCAAACTCCTCGGTTTGCAAAACTTTTCCGTTAGTTGTCCGATTGAGGCGTTGCAAGCTCCAATGTAACCTTTGCAACCACGGCACTCGCCCTAGGCTTTCCATCAAGTCCTCGCATGTTGTAAGATAGTCCGTCAGTTGGGCTCCAATTCTCTAATTTCTTTATCATGCCTTGCAATTTTTCAATGCACGCTTTCGTTCAAGCTCTTGGGACTGGTCCGATAGGAATATATGGAATTGCAAGTCCCGATCTTTTCATATCCATGTCAGGCGTCATACCAGTCCAAGGCCTACATCTATCCAAGGCCGACGAGGAAGACAGGATGCTACCAAAGAGTTACTTGATGAGTTTGACTTGGAAGAAGATATCCATAACCGAAGGAGCCGAGTTCGAGTTAATGAGGTTGATGATAACATGTAGTCCATCAAGTTCTCCATACCACCTTTCGTAGGATCGGCTGAACCTAATGAGTTTCTTGAGTGGAAAAGCAAAGCGGAGATGATGTTTGCATGTCATAATTACTCGGAGCGCAAGAAAATTCAGCTTGCTGTTGTGGAGTTTAAGGAGTATGCTCTTGTTTGGTGGGAGAAGGTACAAGCTGATATTGCAAGGTCCGGAATGCCTCCGATTGAGACATGGGCAGCCCTTACTCGAGCTATGCATGCACGTTTTATGCCCCCGCATTATCGGATGGATCTTCTTCAGAAAATTCGGTTTTTAGTCCAAGGTAGCAAGACGGTTGAACAGTACTACAAGGAAATGGAGATGCTTATGATGGGGGCTCAGCCTATGGAAGATGATGGAGTCACCATGTATCGGTTTCTCAAAGGGCTGAGGCGTGATATTATGATTCAAGTGTATATGTATCCTTACAATTCTACTTTGGAACTTGTCCAACTTGCTACCAAGATTGAATCGCATGGAAAGGTAAGAGTAAGTGTGAGCTTTGGAAAGATGTCACCGAATTTCAACAAGTTTGAGGGTAATACGGGACCAACAAAATCTATGCCCAATAGAGACGATAAGCACACGACCAAGAATGAGCCGCTTAAGGTGGTTAAGCGTGATGAACCAAGGAAAGTCAGCAAGGATGGTTCACCAAACAAAGCAAAGGATGTCACATGCTTTAAGTGTCAAAGGAAAGGTCATTATGCCAATACATGCCCTAATGTGTGAACTGTTGTGCTTTGTGACAATGGGGATTATGTACTTTTGTCGGATGCTGAGGGTGAAGATTGGGAACATGGGGTTGAGGCGAGTGAGGATGAAGCAATCCAAGAGACGGAAGATCACGTTGAAGAGGTTTCATTCGGGGAGTCTCTAGTGGTTTTGCGAATGCTTGGTGCTGTTCCCAAGGAGTCGGAAAAATTTGTTGATCGGGTTAAGGAGCAACAGGAGAATTTGTTCCATTGTCGGTACAAGATTGGTGGGAAGCGAGCATCGATAATCATTGATAACGGAAGTTCCACCAATGTCGTAAGTTGGTATGTGGTAGACAAGCTTGGACTCCAAACTATCAAGCATCCGACTCCATACCATCTTCAATGGATGAACTCTAGTGGAGATATGAAGATCACTCGGCAAGCCAAAGTTCCAATTTCAATCGGCCCCTACAAAGAGGATGTCCTTTGTGATGTTACTCCGATGACCGCAAGCCATGTGCTTCTTGGCCGACCATGGCAATCCGATAAAGGAATTATCTATGATGGCAAGACTAACAAAGTTTGATTTTATGACAAGGGCTACAAGGTAATGATTTATTCTTTGCCATTGAAGGAGGTTTGAAAAGATCAAGAAAGTTTGCAAAAGAAGATGCAAGAGGCTGAAAGCCTTAAAAGTGCTAAAGGAAAAGAAGTATCCACAGAGGAAAATAGAGAGTCTACTGCTAAGGGTTCCAACATCCTTCTTTCACTTACTGATTTTCAGAGAGAAGTTGGTAACCTAGATCATCAAAAGGGAGGATGTTTTATGCTGTTATGCAAAGATTTATTTCATTCTGATAAAGATAATCTACTCACTAATTTTCCCATTCCCTTTGCTAGAATGCTTGAAGAGATGAATGAGGTATACCCGGAGGAACTACCGCAAGGACTACCGCCCATTCGTGGGATAGAGCATCAAATTGACTTTGTACCCGGTGCTTCGATCACAAATCGTCCTGCGTATCGGTGCAACCCAGATGAGAATAAGGAGATTCAAAAACAAGTCCAAGAAC